CACGCACGCATCCGCACCCCGCGCCACCCGCCCCTCTCTTCACGACCGCCCCTAGGACCGCCCGCCTCACCACTCCCTTCCTACACCGGTCACCGCCCAGGCCGAGCTCTCGAGCGTCGCGGAGGCGGTGCGCATGAAGCCCGGCCACGCACAGAAGTTTCTCAAGCTGCTGCCCGCCACGGAGGCGGCGCGGCGGCGGTTCCGGGGGCCGCCGGCCTGGCCTGACTCTGTGCTTCCACTGTAAGGTGGTAGAGCCGTTCCCGTACCAGGGGTTTCGTTTAGTGTTACTGAGTAATGGACATCTCTACGCAAGACCAGTAGATCGTTGGGGTAGAGATAGTAGATTAAGACTGGAGATCCTAGCGGATCTCTCACACGGACACGCCCAAGTCTCGCGCCAGTAGATCCCTCCAGTCCGGTTCCCCATTCAAGACTAAAGATCGAAGATTGAGATTGTGGATTGCAGATCGCTGAGCAGCAACACGGGCCAAAATGTGGAGATAGGAGATGGAGAATGCAGATTGTAGATCCTAGCGCCCAGCCATCCGCCCCAGATGTGAGATCGAAGATTGAAAATGGAGGTCGTAGATTGCTGCCGGCGGCGACAGTGGCCAAGTAGAAGATTGGAGATTGGAGATGAGAGATGGTCAGTGTGAATGAATCCATAGCGCATCTCCTTGAAGGTTTGAGCCCCCCTCCCCCCCCGGGTCCCCGAATCGAGATTGGAGATTGGAGATTGGAGATGGAGATCGGAGATCTGACTGAATCCGGCCTAAGATGACGACGTTGGAGATTGGAGATTGAAGATGGAGATCGGAGATCTGACTGGATCCCCGGCCTAAGATGACGACGCTGTGGATTAGAGAGTATTGGAGATGGGGAGATCGGAGCCCACCCACCAAAAAGTGGTGTTGATAGATGTTTTATAGATTTTTGTTTTTTCCTGTGGTCTGTGCGCGGACGGCCCGGGGAGCCTGCGGCGCCATTTTAATCTGCGCTCCTCTTCATGGCCTGCGGCGCCTGGCTTGAGCTTGGAAGTGTAAACGAGTCCGCCAGGGCGGTCTGCAAACACGGAGCGCGCTGCGCGCGCGGTCTACGGCGAACTTATTTGCCGAGTTGGCAGCGTGAACCACGAT